AGGTGGACACCCCACTCCTGGTCTGATTCACCGCACCCTAAGGTACTGACCTCGGACGTGGGCGCAGCCCCTCCCAAGGTGTGGCTGACAGAGTGCCGCCGTACCCTATTGGGTTTGGGCGGCAGGGCAACCTCCAATTCTCACACCTCATGACACATTCCCACCCAACAGCCTAAACCCGAGTTAACTTCATTCACTAACGTCAATTCCGCCTACGCTGCCATTTATATGAGCGGGCGACGTTGGTACGCGCAGCTGCAGCCAGCGCCGGCAATCCTCCCCCTGAGAGGAATCACGGCTGGAATTCCAGCCTTCGAAGGCTCGAAGCCTTCCAGGCGGCAGCGCGCCTCTCAGTGCACCTCCCGACACAGCGACACGCGCAGAGGGCGGTGCCGCCCTTGCGTCGGAAGGCTCTGAATCTGCAGCATGTGGTGGTGGAAGAAGATGAAGGGGCGGTCCAGGGGCATCCAACCCACCCGCTTGTCGACGAGGGCCCAGCTCCTTCAGCTCCAGATGGAGAACGAGCACCTGAAGGCCCAGCTCGAGAGCGGCGTCAAGGTGAGGCTATGGAGCGGCTTTGTGCGTTCCGGCGTACCACCTTCACTTGACCTTCCACAGCTTCCTGCACAACTTCCACCCCCCAGTGACGCGGATGTCGGCCCCTTGCGGCCCGCCCACCTGTCCAGAAAGAAGTTCAGGGACTGTTCAATTGGAAATTCCTTGGATTCAGCGCCCGTCCTGTGATCGTTACGTCCGAGTGACCTTCCCTGGCGAGGTCCTAGGGAATGTCCAAGTGGCCTTCCCAAGTGAGGCTTCCCTGAGACGCGACCAGAACAAAATAGCATGCGTGTCGCCGTTAGTTGTCAGTGTTCGGGAGCGCAGCGGACTGTACTGATTGTGGCGTCGTGTTTTCAGAAAGAGAGAGAAGAGAGGATTAACGAGATATTTAGCAAGGCACAGCAGGCAGAGGTGTGCTTTCTCGTTGACTGCACTGCCAGCATGGCGAGGTACATCGAGGAAGTGAAGTCCAAAGTCATGGACATCGTGAACGATGTCAGGAAGTCGTACAAGCAGCTAGACCTGCGAATGGCGTTCATCGGATATCGTGACTTCGGTGACGAAAACCGGCTGTCGATCCTGCACCTCACCAAGGACATTCATGCTTTTCGTACGTTCGTCAGCCTACAGAAGGCCACCGGGGGTGATGATGAAGCGGAGGATGTTTTTGGAGGATTGGATGCAGTTTTGCAGCTCGAATGGGAAGCTCCCACAAGGGTGCTTATCCAGGTGGCAGATGCGCCAGGCCACGGTAAAAGGTTCCATCCAGAGGGCCGCAGGCTATGGGATCAGAAAGACCATGCTCTATCAAAGGACGGAAAGGACAGGCATGGTCTTTCAGCCGAGGCACTGATCCCTCAGATTTTCAAGGCAGATCTGTCGTACCATTTCTTCCACGTCAATCGCACCAACACAGAGAAAATGATCGAGGAATTCAACAAAATTTGCCGTCCGTCTGGTTTTGCAATCGTTGAAGTTGACTTGGAGGGGGCACCTGACTCACTGAAGAAGTCGGCAGTCATGACAGTGACTGGGTGCATCGCGGCAACTGCGCACATACTGTCACGGGAGATGCCAACTGTAACGACAATTGCTGACAGTGTCACTGACAGCCACAGATTCGAGAAGAAAATTCCCAATTGGAAGAACATTCGTCAGCGAACGGCATTTGCCACCTGGTTTCAGCCGCCGGCTTCAGTGGCAGATGTGAGGGAAGGAATGGAACTTGAGAAGAAGAGCGGTATAATCCAAATCAAAGTTGCACCGCTCCCCTTTTCTGAGGGGCACATGCGCCAGGCGTATCACGCAGCATGCATGCGTGGTAAGCATGTCAATGATACTACCATTCCCAGATGACAACTTTCCATGCTTAGCTCTTTCGCAGGAAGCACATGCACCCTTTGCCAAGTTACTTGTTCCAATGCCACCAGTCTTCTGCTCGTATTGGGACCAGTCAGCTGACAAATCTATTGCAAAGTGAACAAAATCTGGGGCCATTGCTCTAACATCGCTGTGAACACAATGGTGTTGAACTCAATGTGTGGTCCCAGGTGTGGCTGCATCACATGGGAAGCTTGTTGCCAAGACATCCAGGAGCCACAGAATCAACACTGTGACAGCATACGAGGATCAAATGGAAATACAATGTGTTTCACAATTTTTGGCTGAAGAATTCAATACAGTGCTGCAAAAGGAGAAACCTGGGAGTCCACAAGTGCAGTTTCTGCAAGTGTACACCGTCCAAGCAGAGGGCAATGCTCCTTACTACGCCAATCTGGAGCCATTCGTTGAGGGCAACTTTGAAAAGTTCAACAACAATGCTGGCTACGTGTCTGCCTCTCATGACGCCCTTCAGGCATTCAGCCACTGGACGTATCATGCAACGAATGGATATCTGATGGTTGTCGACCTCCAGGTGAATGCTATCATCCTTTTGCGCTTGACAAGTACTGTGAGATCAAACGTTTAGCAATCACCTCCGTCACGTGCTTTTGTACCATGTTTGGTATTGCCAGTCTGTACTGACGCCTGTGGTATGATGCTGTTGTTGTCTATGGCATCCACAAACATCAACAACGCGATGGAAGCAATTCTTGAAGGAGGATATGCTGGAGAGGATCTGCACGTGTTGTGGCAGCAGAACTTAGGCGGCAGCTGGCGTACAGGATCGCCAGCATGAAATTTGTAGTTAGGGAGCCTGCACTAAGTATTTCGCTGATGCCAATGGCGCCAGTGCCGTATGTTGAAAGAAATCAACCGAAACAGCATTGCGTTGATGGCATTGGCGTCATCAGTTACACACAACCCATTCAAGACAGAAAGAATGTCACCGAGTGAATTCATTGGGCCCTTGTTCACACCACCTCAACTCTCAACGGCCTCAATCACGGTACCATTTGTGCAGAATGGAACCATACAGCAGATTATACTGAGCAAGCTGTTGGAAACCCGCTGTGGGCATTTTTAAGAATATTATGCTCCACAAGAGCATGCAAAAACTTTCGGAAAATTGAAACTTCTACTCCTCAAAAAGGGTGGGTGGGTGGGGTGGGGGTACACCAACACTATGGCCACCACCAACCCTGAAAATGCACACAGGGCCCTCGTACCCTTAAGCTTGTTTCTCAAATAATTGTTTTAGTGGAATGCACTTGACTTCAGATTGACAGGCTTACAATTGGTTGCAATTTTGCTATGGAGAACGTTAAAGTGCTTCACTTGCTATTGCATCAATTTGCAAACATAGTTTGCACTATGATCCTTTGCAGTTCAGGTTCTTGAAATGCAGTGAAGCCGCAATCATATGATAGTTGTCTTCACCATCAACATGGCTTGCCCACCCAGACGCTTGTGATCCAACATTGCGCATGGCCATGGCAAGTGTGACAGATTTTGCTGAATCAGATTAACCATGGCAGAATCAAGCTTGATGACAATAAAATTTCATGTTTTAAAAGCGTTGATACCGTGTATTCGACTCTTGAGGCATGAACTGATTCGTGCAAACACCCAAATTAATAATTGTACCTTGCAACTCTGGCCTCAAACCATGTATTCAGCATATTTAATTCCATGCACGCATTTGCTGTGATTGTGATTGTGATTCCCCCGTTTCTTGTCTTGCCGTGCTGTGACCAGGGTGTGATGGTCGGCAAGGACTATATCCTTTCAGATCCCGCCATCAATTGCAGAGAACTAGTGCAACGCTCTCCGCATCTGGGCAACAGATTTGGTTCCACCAATCTGGGCACCAGAGGGATGGAGTCGTTCTTTACAAACCACAGGTGCAGCTCTGTGTGCCAGGCGCTGGGGCTCTCACCGCAGGTAGCAAGGCGCTGATCGCGCGCTTCTCGCGACCACCAATTCAAATGGATGACGGCACACGTTTCCATCCCAGAATGGTCACCATCACCACCACCACCACCACCACCACCACCACCACCACCATCACCATCGTTCATTTTTCAACAACAAGGCGAGTAATGGTCAGCTTCATATTTTGCCCGAGCGAAGCAGTGTCCATGGTTGGTTCATTTGTCACCATGTCATGGGGTGGTGGCAGGTGCATTGTTCAATGTGGTTAGATTCAACCGGGATGCTCATGAGCAGATGGTCATGCCTCTGATTTTCAGTCGCTTTATTGATTGACCAATTGGTTGGTAGAAAGGAGGGATAGGGGCGAATCGGGTGAGTGGACCCATTGCATGACAGGTACTTAGTGTGGGACTGCCAGGCCATCCACAGCATTGCTTTAAAACTGCAAATTGCAGTTATTTTGTTCTCACACGTTAGGAGAGATATTTGATACGTTGATTAGTTGTCGTGGTGCAGGTGAATTGCCTAGCTTGAGTCATATTCAAGTATTTCACAGCCTCGGATCCATGGTCGGACGCTGATGCTGCTGGCAACATTTTCTGTTATTGCTTTGCTTCTGCACAATAACGGCCTATGGCGTCTTGGTGGTGCGGCACCAATGGTGCCAGCATACATGGGGATTTCAAAATGGCTCAAGGAGCGATAATGTCGTTTTTCTGCAGCTGCAGTAACAGGGATATCTACAATTGCTGCTACAGAGAATCGAAACCATCACTCTTCAAGCCGCGCCTAAATCACATCATCAAAATCCATTGGACTAGCTCCACAGGATGGGTCGTCCGCACCCATCCCAACACCAAGAGAACCTACAATTCACAAAATGCGTCTCCACTGTATAATGGAAACTGTATCTTGAAAGTACGAAAGCAAATTTCGCAGAGGGAAGCCAGATCTGTGATGCCACAATGGTGGCCATTCCAGACTCTCTGTCCATGAGTTCCTGGGTATGGGCTGTTGGGGCTGTTGTGACAAATCAGGGGGAGAAACTTGCCTCCTGCCTATATTAAGCACTGGCTGTGGAAACCCCCCAAAGCGCCGTCTATGCGCTGCTGATTGCGTATGATGCTAAAAGAGGGCAAGAAAATTATAAGCACCATATTGCCGCAACGACCCAGAACGACGTTGAAATGCACCAGTTTTCTTCACCTTTAGATCAATGCGGAAGACAATATCGAATGATGAATTAAGGATGACACTATGCTGGTTTTGTTATGCTTAGCATCAAATTGATGCTTGGGAAGGGGGGGGGGGGATCCAGACCCGTGACGGCAAGAGATTATGTAATTGCAACAACATCGACATAAGGAGGAAAGATAACCCCAAAACGCCGCTGATCAGCTGGAAACAACTCATGACTTGTTTGTAAACAACCTGCAAGTGTTCGATGTTCCGAAAGGACCTCAAAACGGATCAGTCTACGACAATTAAGGCTGCACGCTTCGCCTATAATGCCATTTAAAGTTCCATTTCTCAACTCATTGAAATGAGCACAACTTTGACTATATTTGTCCTCAAAACCACCAAGAAATTGCATACCACTGTCACGTACTGTTGCTGAGTCATCCTTCCATCGACAGTATGATTGACGCTAAGGAGGGTTGGGGTGGGGTGGGGTGTGTAAGATGGCATTACAAATAAATGAGCCGAAACACCTCCTTTTCCACCAACATTGCAGGCGCTATAGGGGGGAGCCCCGGAACAACACAAGGCACAAAACAGGAGAGCACATTGTTGGTCCACGTATCGAGCGCAGTAGTCACCCGCGGCGTTCAAGCTAAGCAGACCCACATGAAAATCACCAGGAGATATAATAGCGAACGACTTCAAATAGAAAGCCCCAGAAAGCGAGAGAAACATCAGGAAAAGTGCAAAGGAGCCGCACAGACACCGACCCCAAAAACAGCCAGAAAGACAACCCACCAAAGCCCAGCGACCCAGAACTAGCAGTGCCACCTAGGGCCAGCCACCTTGGAAAAACCACCTGCAAAGTATGGGGTCGAATGCCCACATCCAGAGGCCCTAGACAAGCAGCGAGGTCGGGCGAAACTCCAACCAGCTACCTGAAATAAGGACGTACAAGCGGTAGCCCCGTCTCCAAACGGCCTTGACAGCTGCAGCCAAAACCCCCTCAAAGACGCCACGAAAGCGCCGTTTCCAGTCCAACTGCGTCCCAGATGAATGATGGTAAATGCGCACCCCTCGGAAAGTACTGGGGACAGAAGTCCCGTATTGTGCGCCCTTGGCCCGCAACAAAGCGACCTTATCCTGCAGCGTACTGAAGTGCACAATCACCGGACGTGGACGATCTGGTGAAAAACGCCCCACATGCTCCACGTCCGTCACCGCAACCGCATGCCCGACCAGCTCGCCAATCAGTTTGCCAACAGTCGCGCGCAGCTCCACCGACTCCAAAGGCGAGTTGGCTGGGCCGCGCACGCAGACGTTGCGGCAGCGGAGCTCCGCTTGGACGTCAAGAGCTCATCCAGGCGTGTAGGCCGCACTGAGGCGGCTGCATGGGAGCGCCGCCGGGCCATGTCCGGGTCAGGCGATGCACAGGGAGAGGTCGCAGGAGCTCCAGGGCGGGCGGGATCTTGCGGCAGGAGGGCCAGCTCGGCGACGGGGCAGGGGAGCGCGGATGGAAGGGTTCGGCCTCCGCGCGCGGATGTTTGCCCGGTGGGCATGGCAGCATGGCAAGCGTCCACCAGGACCTTCTTGGTGGAGCCATAGAGGCCGCGTAGGCAGCGCTGCAGATCGGCTTCGATGGCGGCCGCAAGGCCACCATCGGAGGTCAGTTGACCCCCGGAGACCGAAGTCCCCGCCGCCGCAGCAGCATCTGGAGCTTGCCCTGCCAGAGGCCCGCCTGCCTCGGCCACCTCCGCGTCGAATCCACGGCGCAGAAGAGAAAGGGCGGCGGTGGAATTGACAAAAGAGAAACAGGTCATACAAAGGGCAACCCCTCCTAGGCAAGTGTATGTGAGGCTCTGTTCCATGCTATGGAAAGATGATGTATAGCCTCCGAAGTCAAGATGAGCACACAACACAAGCAAGTCATAGGCAAGAAGAGCATGCACTCGGGGGGGCCCATGTGAAAGGTAGAGAACGTGCGGGGTGGGGAGTGGGGGGTAAGATTTGTTACAAAAGAAAAAGAGACACAGGCCATACAAAGGTAGGTCATACAAAGGGTGGGTGGGGGTCTGAGCTTAACGTCAAATTGACACTGAGCACGACAAAATCGACACAGCGCCATCCCTTACAATGTGCTTAATTCCCCCTGTCTTGGTAGATCGCCCTTCACCACATGGGCTACAATGCAAAGTGGTTGGGCGACTATTCCACCCATCCACTCTGTTGTTGCCCACTCAGGTCACGAACTCAACATTTCTAACTTTGGTATTGACGATGGGTGCAGTGGTCATTAACTCAACTGGGTACAGGCTGGCCCTCTGTGGGCTAATCGTATAGCCCTTTGGCAACACAAGCATCAATACTTTGCGACTTCGGCAACACTTGCACTGTGTGTCATCAGCCATGCTGAAAGACAAAGTTCATGCCAGGTAAGGCTGACAACAGTGCAGACAGCATCAAATAACAGTACCGCTGTGAATGCCATTGGCTGTGTAGATGCGCAAGAGATTTGCTTGGAGAGCATGGGGGACGATGCCAGGTAGCTCAGTTTAGTGTTTCAGCAGCAGCACAAGAGGCCACTCATGTACTTGCCTTCCTTGTCAGCACAACAAAACATTGCTGTGTGCTGCATCCATTCAATTTGGACCTTGGCATTCTTGGCAGTCGTATTTTGGACAAGATGCCTGTGCAGCTGTATCAGGCTTCACCTTTGCAGGTGCTTGTACTGTGTTCTGTCACTTGTAGACAAGAAGATGAAGGTATCCCAAACTACATCTATCTATCCCAAACTGTCTCCATGTGCAATATCCACACTGCATGTTATAGTTCAAATTCGTTTGCATGCGTTCCAGCAGTTTGCGCTTTGCTGTGGCTGTTGAACATGCAGAACTGGCACTTGCAATGCACTGCTGCCCATGCTCCAATTGACGATGTTTGCTGAGGCAATGGCCACAAGCAACCTGAGCATCGGTGTTAAACCGCACAGGGAACAGTGATGCTCAAGGGAACAGAACCAATCATGCTTGCCCTTCTTGGAGGACGCCTAACCACGTTCAGACACTGCTCGCCAGATATCACCCTCTGCGTGGGAGGGCAGTGCTTTGGCACATTTTTCATTGGTACATTTAGTGCACACTCCCTTGTGGTAAACACTGTCAACTGGGGAATAAAAAGTTTAAACAGCCACATAGCAAGTCGCTTTCCCAAGCACTCCATTCCTTAGGCGGCGATGCCTTCTGCAGTCTCAACGCTAACCCACCTCGACCCACTGACTCCCCTGCTCTCCATCATGGTGTCCACAGGGCTGCCCGGCCAACTGGGTCAACGCTGTAAGCGGCCGTCGGGGCCTGGCACAAGTGCCGACAGCTAGAGCTAAATGGCATTGTGCAGTGATTCAGAATTCACAAACACGAGCCCGTGGATGAAACAAGAGCTCTGTCTGCCAGTCCCCCACCAATTCTCACACCCAGTTCACCCTCCCTCAACAGGGACTAATTTCCCCTTCCCACCCAAACAGTGGCGCCCCAAGGCCCTCCAGACCCCATCCCCCGGCAATCACTCCCGCACGAATTTCCTTCGTATGACCTTGCCTTTCATAGACAATTCTAGCCCCTGCACCTTGCGAGCCATGCTGGGCATGCACATCTCCAAATTCGTCTTTTTGTCCCCACATCAAGCACTCCCCACGCCAAACTCCTTCGTCGGAGCTCGCCCTCGAATGACAATGCCTGGGCCCTGCACCCTGCAGGCGACGACGGGCACTGCACGCACACAAACACATCTTTCCGGGCCCCTCCACTCTACAAAAGGTCTTAAACATAGGAGGAGGCGCCCTCTCTATGACCTGTGTCTTCCCTGTGATCTTTCAAAGGGGTCATTCAGCGACAGCCTGACCACCACGGCAGCCAGGACATTGCACACGATGCGCTCCCCGATCAAGTGAGAGATCACCTCCATGCGACCCACAGCCGTCCTCATCAAAGGTCGAAAAATCCTGTCCCTCATTCGCTTTCCCTCCCCAGCAGGTGGGACCTCACCGGCACGCACAGCGGGCACCACGCGTCTTTGCAGCCCCAGAAGTGCCACAACAGCCCGCGCGCCCGCACGCAGTTCCTGTACTGGCACCGCGGCTCTGTACACCACAGGATGTGTGCCCACAGCTGGCGGCCCACGGCGCATCCGGGACCGTACCGGCACCCCCCTGGCGCCGCCCTGCAACTGGGGCAGTGGTACAGGAACGTGATCCAGGCGCTGCGCACGCGCATCTGGCGGCGCTCCTCCTTGGTGGCGGGCTGCGCGTAGGGCCCCTCACGGGCATCAATGCTCGCCAAGCATTCGGCGTCGCCCTGCAGGCACGCCTCCTGATCGAGAAGGCCGTCCTCGTCGCACGCCATAACTCGAAGGTCGGCCGAGTCGCATGCCCCCGCTGGCGCCATCCCTGGATTCGCCGCCCGACGCGCCTGAGCGTTGCCCCACAGAGGTGATGATGGGCTGAGGGCTTGGTCGGGGCGGATCGGACCGCAGAAGTCTGGATTGACGCCGCGGAGGCGGTGCCCCCCGGATTGGCACCGGCGAGGGCGAGGGAGGCGCACGAGGCCTGGGGGCACGGGCGATCTGCGCGGGGTGGGTGTTTGGCTCGCCAGCAACCGACAGAAACTGGCGTGTGCGAGTCCGAAATTTCGAAATGCGGCGCTCATCTCACCTCCATAATTATGATTATAATCCTGCTGCCGAAAACGAAACATCATCATGTGTTTGTTTAAGGAACAAGGCAAGGAGGTTAAACGCGTAGCGCTGTACTGTGTTGAAGTTGTAAAGCTTCTCAGGGGGTGCTTTAGAGCATTTCGCAAAATTAGCTGAGTGATGTGGAAATCCTGGGGACGTGCCCTTGGTGGGGATAGTGGGGACACGTTGGGGTGTTGGGATGTCCGGGACGAGTGTCCTGGGTTGTCCTGTCTGCTTGAGACACGTGATACTCTCCTTAAACCCGATTTGGCGGACTCTCTGGTTGCCCGAGCCGCAGTTTACACACTGTGTTGGAACTGTTGTCGCACAGTGTGAGCAAACATCTGTTGTGCCTACATCACCGCCAGCAGGATGCAAGGCCGGGACTTGCTGGCGATGTCTCCGAATGCAATCGAAGCATGGCTCTCGCCAAAGCCGTTTCGGTTGTGCAGGCTGCAATTTGAGATGGAAATTAGAATCACTGCAATGGCTGCTGCCAGAGACCATGGAGTCATCCTGAGCTGCGGACGGTCAAATAGGCCCCCCCCCAGCCCGTGAGGCTCCATTATGATGGGCCCACGAGGAAGGTAGGTGGTGTTGAAGCGATCGCTCCAGACCTTGACATCCAACGTGTTCGTGTGAAGTTTCGACTTTTTTTGGCATGTATGTGGACTCTGGAAATCTGATCGAACAGCGGTACTAGTTGTCCACCATCGCTTTTTGAAGCACTGAACATCGTTTCGCCCTTCCAAGACGCATGCAGTCGAAAAGGATCAGACTGGGAGGTACAAAAGACTCAACTCGGACCAAGAAGTACTTCACGGAGCAGGGATTGGGAGAGCTGTGAGAGTGGCGCATGTGTTCAATGCACACATGCATGGCCGCAGCATGCCCAGATGCAATCAATTGCGCATGACACGGCCAACTGCCCGCCTGCATCTTGCCAACGTGTGGATTGGGATACTCCTTCGCTTGGACCATGGATGACAGTCAGCAATGGTGAACACAGCGTCTGTGCCAATCTAATAGGTTCTGCCAAGACCTTTGCCAAGAAAACACCTGCTGCGGTTCCTGGGTTCAATGCGTCAGTGAGTCGCATAGGTTGCCCACGGCCTCTGCAAAATTCTCGTTCAGTGGCTAGGCACTGCATCCTTTTTGTGACACTGCCCTGAACTGCAAGTTCCAGCCCTGAAGGAACGAGCTCGATGGGTTTTGGAAGTCATTGGGGCATTAGAAGACAAGCAGCAGCTCAGCACAGCACCCGCAGGCATGCATGCAAGTACCTTTGGCACCTCTGACGAATTGCACGCAGGATAACATGATATATTGTACCTGTCGCAAGGTGTAAGTACGGGAACAAACTGCATCGTTCTTGGCCGGCACCTGCCAGCATGTGCCTCCTACATCTCACTATTTCCACAAGAGCAGATAACCCTATGACACCCAACAAGTCACAAACAAAGCCGCCTGGAACCATAACAGTAAGCGCACAAAACTCCTTTAGCAGGATCTGAGCCGCACTTCACATTTCAGTTCATCAAAGTTGTGCAATTAATCTTGCAACAACTGTCCAATTCAGGCCGCCAGCCTCTGGAGCAAATGGCAGCAATATTCCAAGCACGAAAACGGCGATTGAAGAGGAGCTTCTAACAGATGGGCAGCCTCACACCGCTAGGGAAGGCCACCATGGGCCCTTTCACAAGCCAACTTGAAGAATGCCATTCATGGTAGAACTCTCTAGGCCAGCAACCTCAAATCACCAGGGATGGCCGTCTCAAGGCCCTTCACATGGACACAATTGATGTCGATGTTGGGGACCTCGTGGTTGTCCATGTACTCGGCCATGAGGTTCTCTGAGTCGATGAGCAGGACGCACATGAGGTTGCCCGAGGCTGGCTTGGTGAGCTTGATAACGAGCTTGTCGCGGCCAGAGGTGCCAGCCTCCTCGCCCTCCAGGGTTTTGAAGAGAAACTGCATGGCCAGTCAATAACGACGATCAGTCAAAGGGCTTTTCAATCTTAAGCAGTGTGGCTGCAGTAGACTCTGAGTTCCAGCTAAGACTGAGTGACAGAGTGCACAAGTATGATCTCAGGACATTAAACAAACACTGACCACATCGTTCTGGGCCCATCTTTGCCTGAAGATGCCAAGTCTTTGTCGTGGCTTTGACTTGTATACTCAGTGAAACTTCTGAAGAAACACATGCACGATGACAGATACTAGGCATCGCCTGCAAGTTTCAAGGGCCCTCTTTCAGCTCGAACAAAGAATGTACTCACAAGGACATATACTCAAAGCACTGCAAAACACTAAGAAAACCCACCATAAACTCAACGTGAGAAAAATGGCACAGCCATGTAAAACTGGCACATCACTACAATGAATAAAACAATAGGAGTCAATGGCATGGCCATGACGATGTGAAGGACTAACCGATACCTTGCCAGCTATGCCCCCAGCAACCCCTGAAGTACCTGTGGGTTCCAGCCGCCGAACAGACCAGGGAACACATACTCGTCCGCAAGGTTCCACTCGTTGTCGCTTTGGCCGTCGTGCATCTCCTGCCCGGGCCACAGGGCCACCAGCCCGCCGTCCACCGACGTCGCGTCGTCCTCCTCCTCCAGAAAGGCCTCTAGGCCTTCTGGAGTCCCGGGGCCTCCACCCTGGCCTGTCGGGGCACCAAGGTCCCCCACAATCGCATCATGGGCATCTCCCATTATCCCCAATCCTTCCACAGGCAGAGATTCCACAGGGAAATCGACTCCGGCCAGATGGCCAGCCGCGCTGGGGCCCTCCTGATCGGTTGGATTGCCTCCAGGCGGCTCAGGAGACAAGTCTACCCCTTGGAGCTGATCCGCGGCTTGTGGTGGCTCCGATGGCCCAGGCAGGTAGGCATGGGGCTCGGGCATGCCGCCGGACGGCAACCACAGCGCGGACAGGTCGGGGATGATGTCCAGCGGCACAGGATCGGCCGCAGACATGGGCGCCTGGTTGCCGATCGAGCCGCCCCGGCGCTCAAGGGCGGCCCGCCGCGCCAGCCTGGCCTCCTCCCGGGAGAAGAACCTGAACCACACCAGGGGGCACATCTCTCCCAGCCCAGCGTCTTCGACGTCCTCGAACTGCACCCACTCGCCGTGCGTCGAGCGCTGCCGGCCCGCCGCCCGCGGCAGGCGCCCCGCCTCGCACGCCTCCATCAGCGCCTCCAGGCTCCTCGCTTTGGCCATCTCGTCCACGAACCGCCCCCTGGCGGCCTCATAAAGACCCCTGGCGAAATCCTCCCCTGCTGCCCCATTGTCCGGCCCGTGCGTCCGGTTGGCCAAAAAGATCGCGCCGCAGCGCACGGGGCATGACAGTGGCCCCTCTCGCGACACCACGACGGATTGGGCGACGCCAGTCACGTCCGGATCCGCCAAGGCCAGCCGCTGTGCCACGCAGCGGTCGTAGATCACTGGCGGACTGTCAGCGTCGGCGTTGTCGGAATCATTGCGCCAGCTGGCCAGGTCGAGGCGGTGGTGGGCGCGGATGGGCTGCCGGGGGAGGCGGGGGGCCGGAACGTCCGGGCACAGGCCGGCCATCACACGCACTCCGCAGTTGGAGCACATCTCGCTGGAGTAGCACCGCCTGCTGTCCGTCTGGCGCAAATGGCGACAGATTCATGGGCAAATATGTTGCAGAACGAGGCGAGGTGGGACAGGGAAGGGCAAGACATACTGGCACTGGGGGGGGAGAGCACAACGTCGGTCGCAGAAGGTGGTTGTGTTGAATGGGGATCTTGGCGCAAGTGGGAGAGGTTCACGGCTGCCCTCGAAAACATTTAGACTCAAAAATCGAGTCCGGTGGGTCCGCAACCCGGGGGGGGGGCATGAGCGGAACGCCAGAGTCGTGCGTAGGCAGCCGTGAAGCAGGGCGATCCATACTCATCGCCACTTATCCCCGCGCACACAACCTCCCAACCCGAGCCAGCGCGAGACGCACAGGCCAAGCCGCCGGTGCAGCATCGCTCAGGGCACGCGCGCTCTCGCTCAGCAACGAAGGAGGAGAGAGGAGGGGGTGGCCGGGGGGGCGCGTCCCACCTCAAACATGTTCGAGCACCAGAAGTATGCCTGGCCGGCGTCCACCCCGCCGTCCGTCAGCAGCCCCCGGAACCGCAGCCGGGACCTCCGCCGCTGGCGCGCCAGGCTCACGTACAGCCGCTGCGGGCCCAGGGACCCGCCGCCGGCCGCCCGGCCCAGGCGCAGGCCGTAGTCGGACCGCAGCTTGCGGATCCACACGGTGGGCGAGCGGCCAGCGTCGCGGAAGCGGCGGCATGTCAGCTGGAAGGCCAGGAGATCCCCGGCAGGTAGAAAGTCCAGGACGGCCTCCAGGCAGGCGTCCGGCAGGTCGTGGAGACCCGCCTGGCACTGGGGCTCCGCCATGGCGACCTCCGACACGGCGGCAGGCACGATAGGGCTGGAGTGACGCGAAATGGGGCCACACGGAAAGATATCTGGCCGGGGCAGTGCGTGGCAGTTGAGTAAGAAGGGCACCGTTGCGTTGGGGCCCGTTGCAAGGTACATTGGCGCTGTACTGTTGCCCAGCCTTGAGTTTACGTTTGCCAGTTGGGGGACACGCAGCCTGAGGCGAAGAGTTTGAGAAGCGGCGGGACTCGCCTTCCCGCTCGCAAAGTCTACTGTCCTCCCCCGAGGGCACCGGAGGGAGGCACCGAGCCGCGCAAGGAGCGGCAGCTCCGCGCCACTCCGATCTCACCCCCCCTATTTTTGAGCGCATCCAAGTACGAGGCGAGCTGCTTTTCTCCTTGACACCTCCCTCTGGGATTGGTCGATCGCCGGGGTGTGCGTGGGCCCCCCGGGTGCCGGCCATGCCCGGCCCCGAGCGCGTGGTGCTGCACCCGCTGGTGCTGCTCAGCGTGGTGGACCACTACAACCGGGTAGCCAGGGACAGCAGGAAGCGCGTGGTGGGCGTGCTGCTGGGGGCGTGCCACAGGGGCGTCGTGGACATCACCAACAGCTTCGCGGGTGGGCGGCGATGCGCACGGCGCGTTCCCGGATGCTGTGTCCCGTCTGGCCTTGCTGTATTCGATCGATGCTCCCTTCATCCGTTCCTTCGCAGTTCAAATGGAGGGGTAGAGGGATCTAGGGGGATTTCGCATTGTGCAGCTGGTGCTAGCGTCTACCATGGGTCGCTGTAGAATTGAATTTTCCATGCGCTTGGGCGGTGCGCTGTGGCGGAGGAGGGATCAGATTCTATGGTCTGTGTTGCTGTTGGCTGTCGTTCGGCCACGTGCGGCGGCTTGGTTGCGATCGTCCTTTTGTCTCAGAGGGACGTGCCATGCTACGGCGGCGATCAGTGAGCCGGTATTGCTGCGGGCTTCTCTGCGCACGTGGAGCATGCTGCGTAAGGTTCTGAGTGCAACAGGAATGGTAATGGCTGGGTGTCTGAGGCAAGACAGGATCGGTGACGGTCGCTTGTGCCCCAAGGGTGGGGGGAGTCGCGGCTTGGATGGCTCACTGCTGGAGTTAAAGAGAGATCTCGCCCTCATGTTAGAATGCTATCGGTAAACCACTTCCCTCTGAACTTCATGGCTCCCTGTGTTGGGCTGGTTGAGTGTGTTTAGGTGTGCCTGAACTCCTGAACACAGGTCATGCACCAGGACACCCATCCCGGCAACAACACGTTCGGCCATTTCCGCATTGCATGTACTGTTGTCGTTGTTGGTGTTGTCGATAGAACTGTAGGGAATTGTTAAACTACAGACCATCGACTTGGGCCTGCCTGCGATCTGAGCATGGAAGTGTGTGTGCGTGTGCAGTCCCCTTTGAGGAGGACGCCAAAGATCCCAGCATATGGTTCCTGGACCACAGCTACCTGGAGGTTATCTTCAGGATGTTCAAGAAGGTGAATGCGCGGGAGGGAATCGTGGGGTGGTACAGCACGGGCCCGCGGATAAGGGAGGCCGATCTGGACATCAATGAGCTGATATCGCGCTTCTGCGACAGCCCAGTGCTGGTGATCTGTGAGGTGCAGCCCAACGAGATCGGACTGCCAATCACAGCATACCATGCACAGGAGGAGGTCAGGGAGGTGAGGAATCCCAGGGACACCTGTATGCACACATCACTGTATTGCCCTAGCTGGTTACAAACAGTGTTGCAATCTCTGTGCTGACTCCCCACTCCACTGGCCATCCTGAAACACTTCTGTTTGCTCCACAGGACGGCACAGAGAAGAGCAAGAAGGTTTTTCTCAATGTTCCAACGGAGGTCGGGCAGACGGAGGCAGAGGAGATTGGTGTGGAGCACCTCCTGCGGGATGTGAAAGACGCGACGATCAGCACGCTGGCAACAGACGTCAGTGCCAAGGTACAGGGTCTCAGGGGGTTGTTCTCCCGGCTGCAGGAGATTCGGCAATACCTGGAGTACACACTGGCTGGCAAAATGCCTGTCAACCATGAAATCATGAAGCAGCTCCAGGTGTGTCATGGACATGGGCACAGGAAGCATATGCTGGTATTGTGAATGTACTGGCAGCGCACTGCATGAAAGGGTGTCACTGAAAGAACTCTTCTGCGATTCCTGCTTTTCTTATTCCCTTGTGCAAGTCGAGGGAAAGTGTCCATGATATCCATAGAGTTGTTGGACAGGAAGCTGTGTTTGCACCCCACGGTGTGCGTGCTGCAGTGTTCCATGGTGCTCTGCAGGTGGACTTATTGGTACTGTGCCAGGGGCTTCACGGTGGGAGTAGGTGCCAGGCTATTGTACAAGTTGTCTTCTACCAGCTTGATTCTCACTGGCCAGCAAGCTAGGAAAAACAGCTGGCCTGAGCATGGCGGCGTGCTGGTGGTTCCACAGTTTAGTCATGCTGCTTTGCTCTCCTCCTGTACAGGACATCTTCAACTTGCTACCGAACATGAACGCAGGCATGTTGTCCAAATCCCTAGCAGGTGGGTCGACCTGTTTGAATGGAAAGTTCTCGTTCTGCTGCCGTTTTGAATTCTTGGTTGTGTTTCTTCAGTTCAAATGTAGTGGTGCCGGACAGAGCATTTTTTGTGAGACAAACTGGATGACTGGGTGCTGCTCTCATCCACCCAGTGCTGTCAGCTTGTTGACGGATGCTGCCATTCAGCTGTTTACATCAAAACCCCCTGCGTACTTTAGATCCACTGCAGGCGCCCCAGCTTCGCCTCGTATTTTTCAGACAAGCCCCTTCGACACTCTGTTGCACTTTTCAACCACAAATGCATGTCTGCATGTCCCCCACGCCAATGCATGCAAGTCCCAGGTCCTGAGCAAGGCTCGTTTCGCTGCATTGTACTTCTTCTAACGCCTTCAAGGACCGTATTCGCCAGCCCTGGCAAATGTCCAGACAAAATACCTGGGAACCCACGAGGGACCGTTTTGTGTGCCCTGCACAGCTTCGCACGCTTTGTCATGCTGTTGTGTTGGTGCGTTATCACCCATGCCATTTTGTGCATTGTGGCTGTTGCGTCTGACACCGAATTTTGCGTGCCGACACTGTCGCAGTCAAGTCCAACGACATGATGCTGGGGGTGTACGTGGCGTCCCTGATCCGATGCGTCATCGCCCTCCATAACCTGATTGACAACAAGGAGGTGCGCCTGGGAAAGAAACATGTGGACAAGCCCAAAGACAAAGCGGACGACCCGAAGGTCGAAAAGACGGACGAGCCAAAAGCGGGGGAGGAGGACAAGCAGCCCAGCGGCTCCAAAAAGTGAGGCGCCGGTGGAGTGTGCGCACGGGCCGATGTACGTACACCAGGTTACAGGTTACAGGTTACAGGTTATGTACTGTACAGCAGGTCACTTTACAGAGGACCCTGGCGGGAATGCGTGGGGCCGTTTGCCGCGCTATGGGAGGCATTGACGACGATGTAGACGCCCAGGAAAGAGGAGTACGCAGAAAATTAGCAGACTTTACTCCCGTGCTGGCGGCTTGTGCGTCTGTGGGGTGTGTGGGATGGTTGGGGCAGACACATTTTGTTTCTATTGTGCGTGGGTTCGACTCTCCATTCATGTGAACATGTGTTCAGCTCGTTGACGGCCACTGGCAGGCTTTCATATGCCCAAGCGAGACCCAATAACCTTTCGATTTCGCCTTCTGCTGCCTGCCGTCTGGCCAATGGCTGCCTGCCCATCCCAAGCCACGCCTGCCCCCAATTGCGCGGCCAGCATAGGTAACGCAAATTATTGTGCTCGCGTGTGGCAGCTCAAGGAATGCGCGTACGGATTCGATCAGGATTTCATGCAAAATAAAGCTTTAGATTTGAAACAAGAATTAGTGATTGTATTGAGCTTAAAACGTGCTTTTAAAACTGCCAGCTTTGCCATTGTCAGTACTAAATATTTGGCAGTGGTGCGCTCAATGAGTCCATGACGACGCTGCCACACTCGCGCTGGGCAGCGCCAAACGCACACGGGGTTCCAAAACAAACGATCTACAGATCAATTTCAGCCAAGGCGCCTTCTCACCAGGGGGCATCTATTTGATGTTACACATCCGGTTCATCCTCATCCTCAGCTCAAAACTTCAACAGCAACAATTCAGCGAAAACGCCCCATCATGCCTGCCCAGCCAGTGGCACGCCAAGGGGATAATGACAGGCCACGCTGCGCGACATAGCCACCCAAACAACGTAAGTGCCAATTCCGCAAGGCCCCTTCGCCCCCCACGACGGACTCGAGTAAGCATCGAGGGCGCAAAATCGTGCCAATGATCCCTCCGCTCACGACCACGCGTGCATGTGCCACCCCACCAGACGGCACTACTAGTTTATGAACCTGCCTAACGCAACATTGGACTCTCCTACTGGATCAGCAGAATTGACTCGGAACCTCGGCGAGCTGCCCTTCCAGAGTCTGGATGAGCAGAAGGGCGTCCAAACTGCCATCTGCATCCCAGAGAACCGCCTCAGCCGCCTTCCCACGCCCGGATGGGCGCGAAGAAGGGGTGCCCGATGGCCTCCCTGCTCGTCATCCTCTCCTGGTGGTCGAACCGCAGCAGCCTGGCCATCAAATCCAGGGCGTCGTCGTCCGCCAAGTGCTCGTTGTGGTCGGTCACCTGCTTAAGGAAGCCGCGCCCCTTGCGCTTGCCCAGCGCCTTGCGCAGCGCGGGGTCCAGCTCCACGCCATACTTTGCGAGGCACTTGTACAGGTCCTCGGTTCCAAGCACCTGACACGGAGGAGTTGCACGGAGCCTTGTGTCAACACGGATGAATACGTACTGAATGTTCTCCAATAGTTGTGTGTCGTTGAAGCTTCATCATCATCATGTTTTTACAGATATTTTTACAACTATTCTTGCTATATGTTTTGTATGTCTTGTTGAAGCTTCAGGGGCACCAGCCACCATCTGGAAAAAGCAAGATGCGGGCAATTTCCCCGCTGGAAGATGAGAGATGTGAACTCCCCCAGCAGTGGTTGCTGGCATGATTCCGAATGCGAGAAAACCAAAGCAGTGCAAGTTGATACATGGGGGCTGCAAAGTCATCTGCCACCACAAGTCACACTGGTGTGCTTGTTCTGAGTGCATGGCGAATCAACTGTTGGTAGTGTCATGCCGCCCTCCTGGCGCATCCCCAATACTTCCTCTAACCTGAATTGAATGTCATCTTATGTTTAGGAGGCCGCATTTGTATCAGAAACTTATAATTTTCTTGAAATTCGAGTCAGGGCATTATCTGTACGGCTATGAAATGCCCTCGACATTGTGTAGTGTACAGAAAAAGTGCAAAGTAAATAGCAGTACTTTGAGCCCACTGGACTCGGCCTAAAGTTTCTTAAATATCAAGGTCTTGGTGACCCCAGCAAAATGGGGTCCCAGAGTGAGGCCCCTTATCGTGGTACGCAGGGTGCCAAGACGGTGGGGCAGCCAATACCACCGCAAGTCAATGTTGGAGTGGTCGTCTTGAAGCTGCAGTGCTGCTAAGCCGTAGGCAGCGCTGTGCACTAGAAATAGAGGCACTGAAGGGTTACGCGAGCCGCTGTTCCCTGTCAAAATGGGGAGGGGGGCCTTTGGAGGCGTACACCACAGATTGAATGGCGGTATCTTATACTCTTGCTGATTGCTGCCACACAAGGGTGAACGCCTACCTTCGTGATCTTCAGCAGCTGGTCCGCATTGTCCACACCGTTGAAGAATGGCTCCTTCTTGAACACCATCCCTGCAGCCACAGGCCCCAGTTACAAATGCTACCATCAGGCAAAGCCACAGAAAGCGATTTCGAGTGACAAATGATGCCAGTTTCACGACTGTCAAGGTATCCACGATGTACGCCCAATGTACATTCTGTAGAGGGGTCAGCTTCGCGTACACATATCCTTGCATTCAAATAGGTATACACAACCCCCAGTTTGCCAATCCCGACGCACCAATCCTGGGAAGGATTTCGCTCTGGCACAACGCGAAATCGAGGCCAGCCAACGCAGATTATTGTTGAAATGGATCTGAACCGTCGAATTGAAGTTTTGACAATCAATCAGGTTGAGTCCAAGCATTTGCCAGATCAAGCGTTCCGCAGACAACGTGCACTTGAACTACGGTCTGGAGCAGCTGGGTCCCTTGCCTGCAAGCATGCAGCCCACACCCCACAAGTCCATCGAGTAGTCATAGTCAGTCAAATCCACCAGCAGTTCCGGAGCCTTGTAGTGCCGGGAGGCAACTCGCACATTGTACCTGTCGCAATGCAACATAGATGGTGTCAGGCGCACAATGAGGGTTCTTGTGATCCTAAACTACTGACAAGCCGCTCACCGATGTGGACAAAGAAACAGTGGCAGTAATGTTCCACATGGCGATTGAAGACATCATCAGCCGGAGCCAATTCGAACAATAGCTTCCACTGTCTCAGCCTAAAACTGGTTTGCCATTGACTGCCTTCTAGGGGGCACATACTTGGCTGCTTTTCTGCCTAAAACTAGCCCCACAGACCCCTGTTTGTTCCTATTCAGAGAGAATCGCACCAAGGGGTTCCGTTGCTTCTTTTAATTCTCGTTCTTCTGTTCTACATCTCTCAGTGCAATGCAGTGCAACGTTCTGGATCTGGTTTTCCAACACAGGCACAAAACCGATAACGGTTCTGCCTGCATTGGGAAATGCCAGCCAGGCAACCAAGGGTGCAGAGAACGTCTATGACAAGGCATCCTGCACAACGCAGTGAACGCAGCTCTGGAGCCATTCACACATTGAAGTACTTGCAATGCAATAGAATGATTGAAAATCAAACAATGTAGTAGATGTTCAGAGCGCGAGCCAAGAGTGGCCACTGTGGGTGAGGGCATATTGGTCTGTATCCCAAGGCTCATGCCTCCCAGTTCCATTTGCATGGGTTAGGGGAAAACTGGTGGCATGCGGCTGCACACCTACTCTTTGCCTGGAAAGTAGAATTCCGCGAGGCCCCAGTCGATGAGGCGCAACTTGTGCAAGTCGTGGTCGATCACTATCTGAAAGAACAAACAGCCTTGGGTCATGGCATGGTAGAGAAGAAGCCCTGCTCGAGAGTGGTGAAGTGGGAATACAAACAACAGCACAGGGCCCTCTGAAGCGAAGTTTTTGTTGCTGTCAATGCTGCTATGTTCTGCGAACTTGCCTCTTGCGTCCAGAAACTTGCACAATACCTTCATAACAAGGATAACACAGATACATTTGGTCAACAGAAGGGCACCCATCAAACACCATTGCTTTTCACGTGCAAAGAACCTTCAAACATACAACGATTGTGCCCTATTTCCTTTGTAAGCACAAATGTGACTGGAGTGAGCCACGTGCCAGCACCGTCAAGGTTTGCCGCAATCAAGGACCACAGGCAAACACTATCTAAAACAGAAACTCCGGATGAGCAGCCCTACGCCCAGGCACGACATCAGCACAATGGCAATTTAATAGTTGGGATTGAACAGAAGATGGGCGTCACTTCATGCCCATGGATAATTCTGTGCTGGTGCATGTTTGAGGTGACCAAAGAACTCAGGCGCAGAGCAATTTGTAATTGAATTAGAGCACGATAGCTCGCTTTCATCTGAAAGGCCGCTGCCAAATAGCGTTTGCCAAAGAGTGCAACAAGCAAATCATGCAACAATGGGAAGCTCATCTATTCTTTCTTTAAAGCTTGTGGAATCACACGAACAGGAAGGGTGGGAGGGAAATGGAACAAGCTCTTTGGGACATTCGCAATTTCACAGACAGCGTGCAGCATTCCATAAGCAGGTTGGCATGGATTGTAGCGTACATTGTGAGGCTTGATGTCTCTGTGCATCACTCCCTGTGAGTGAGCGTAGTCAAGAGCCTGCACACCACAGCCCACCACACACATGTCAGCCTGGACACCAGGTGCTGAATACAAACTGTTAAGCCCCATAGTTAGACACAACAGTGCCAGCACTCAAATCTCAAGGTTACCTGCTTGCCAACAGACACCAAAATCTAAGCATCTCATTCATGTCCTCCATGGCTCCCACAGCAATGCAGAGCAGAATATGGCGCTGATGTAGTTCTGCTACAGAGGCTGCCCGAATGCAGTTCTGCCCGATGTAGTTCTCCTGGGAATGTATATGCTATATGCATAGTGAGGAAATCATCCAATGCGTGACCTGTTCTGTAAATTTGCAATTCAAAAACACAGCAGCCTGGACTATGGGGCTGTTTGTGCATTTCTTTGCTTTCACTTTTCCAAGAGAAATCCCTACAGTTTCTGCTGACCTGGCTTGCTGAGTCCATGGACAAGCATTGCTAGGGTTGCGGGAAGCACAGCTACATCGCCCAAGATAGCCCGTAACTCCAAAGGGCCTCAATGTCTCAAAATACTTAGTTTGTGATGACTCAGCTCACATGCTAGTACGGAGATGCATGAGTGGGTTCCTGTTTCATCATGCACTGTACAACAACAATCAGTGCCAGAGCAAAAGCACCCACAGCAAATCCAGCTGACCTCACACTGGGCACATACAGAGGATGCAGTGAAATATTTGGAAACTCTTCAGCGACAGCATCATGCTAGGATGCAACAACATCTGCAGGCTACAATTGTGAATTTTGTCAATCGTGGTGTATGACTGCATAATCTTCCAGTAGGCCAAGCCACAATCAAGCCAGAGATTCGAAGAACAAGTTGGCTTGGAGGTGAACGTGACCCAAGCCCCCCACCACCCTCCGCCCTCAACATCGCACAACCCCACCAAACCCCCGCACACCAGCTCACCATTGTCGAAGGGGCACCCTCTGCATGATAAAATTTCCTTTTGGCTGAGAACACCACAAGTTTTGCAAACAGCCAGCTGCTCGTCACTCGTGTTACTGCACACAAAAGCATGGCTTTTATGTTTGCACAAGTACCTTCAGCAGCTGGTACAAGTAGTACCTTATGTCCTCCAGTCCCAGCGTGGGATACAGGAACCTGTAGTCATAGTTGTTACAGAACTCAAAGACCAGGCTTGGTGTCTTGTTGTTCTCATCCCATATGACCTCCAGCAGCTTGATGATGTTGGGACCTTCCTTGAGGGTCTCCAGTATCTTCACTTCTCTCCTGATCTGTGAGCACACCCCACATGTTGGTTGGCACAAACAATTATGCGCCCTCTGTCCCTCTTGTGCAATGTTTGTGCTCAGCAGCGCCTTTCAGGGAAAGGTTCTGTTGCCCTCAAACTTGGCTTCTGTCTTGATCCATAGTATCGGCCTTTCAAGAGTGGAGAAAAACTGCTCGTGAACGGCTGCAGCTACTTTTTGATGTTTGTCTAGGAAATAGAGTGCGCATCCATCGCACATGAAAGGCGATTACAGGCACACTTCCATCCAAATGCTTATTCGACGACTTCTCGTCCCAAAACTGTAAACCGCACTGAAGAACCCAGCTGCATTGTGAAAGACGCAGCCGAGGAAGGTCCGCCGGTCCAACCATCAGCGGCACTCTGCTGGACCCGTTCATGGCATGGCACTCGAATCTGCGAACATTTAAGGACTCCCAAGCAGTTCATGGAGGCGCAGCGCTTCTGATGCTGCCACTCCTGGACGACATCAAGAGCACCCAAGCCAGCGCCGTCCACCCACCTTCTTCATCTTGACCGGCTTCAGAATCTTGATGACGCAGCGCTCCTTCGCGCCGTTGGCGCCCTCGTACACCTCGCTGTACCGCCCAGACCCGATGCACTGCCGCACGAAGTATCCATCCACGGGCCTGGCGGAACAGACGGCGCGGCGCTGAGCCCCGGGAAACTCAAACCGTCGCATCCGCCCCATCCATCCCCACTGTACCCGCAACACACATACACACACAGGCGCACCGCGTCCTACCGTCCCGAGCACGGCGGCCCCGCCGCGAACATCGAAAGACAAAGAAGAAGAAAGAAACCAAAACGCCACCCCAGCCCCCGCCAGGATTCCCTGCATCATCCCCATGCCGCCTAGGAGGCATTCGCCCGCAGAGATGCCGCGAAAATGGCTGCCGTGCGCTTTTCGGTATGCGGCTGCGCCGGCCACCTCCAGTCGAGTCTGTAGTCGTCGTAGTCGTGGTGCTCCTTGGGGCGGTGCACGTTGACGTCCCTGTACTCACGCGCCTGGCTCCGCTGGCCCTCAGCGCTGCGCGTGGCCTTGGCGAACCGGCGGTGCATGGCCCTCGAGGTGCGATGGGAGGAGGACGGCAAGAGGGGTGCGGCAGCGGCGGGGAGGACACCGCCACCGCCGCAGCGCGGAGGTGTGAGCAGGTAGGACGCCGGCTGGGCGGCTGCGATGTGTCACTGGGCGAGAGGGGATGGTTTGCTGGTCAGGAACAGTGAGAAGGCAACTACGATTTTCGGAAACAATACGGCACAAATTGGGTGCTGACGAAGGCCTCATCATCTCTTCGTGCGTTGACGAAGGCGCGCAAGGTCGAGGGGTGGCGACCCCTGAACGGGGATCGTACGCTCGAGTCCACAGCAACTGTTTACAGCCGAGGCAAAGGGGCAACAGGAGTTCTGTCCCTTATATCCAGTCCGTTCATCAACGTCCTTAAGGCAATTCCCGGTGCCTCATCATCTCTTTCTGCGTTCAGCTGTGAATAATACTCAGTCAGATCTAGTTGCAACAGTGTCCAGCTGTTAACAATACTCAATCAGTTCTAGTTACAACAGTGCCACGCGGTTCTTAATGGGGTGGGCAAGTTGGACGGGCGGAGGAAACATCGCAGTTTTGGTGGGACTTCGCTGTCTGCTGTTCTTGATTCCAAAATATCACATCACATTTCGGTGTCCAGGTGCCTTCCCCGTCCTATCACAAGATATTTGGACCTTGCGCCACCTAGCAAGAGAGCGCATGGCGATGCAAAGCCCCAATGGTTACGTCGACCTCGCGGGCTTGTTTGTTGGTGAGCTGAGGAATCGGTTTTCTGCAGGTGGATTCGATTGGGACGCCCTCCAACCTGGTGTCCCACCTTCTTGACGACAAAACGGGCAGCACACAATCAGTCGATGTGCAGCCAATTGTGTGGGCGGCGTCGCTGTTTGGGGAATGCAGGATTCACAACCGTCACCACCTGCACTCGTTCATTGCAAACAAGGATGTGCGTTATCGCAAGCAAATGCAGCCACAGTCTGCAGGAACGCATTTCACAACCAACGAACAGCTCCACAAAGGCTACGTTTCTGTGCCTGCCGCCTCCTTGGGTATGCAATTAGGTGCGCCTTGGCACTGCTTCATCACTGTTTCACCAGTATTGCAGTCTAGCGGGTCAAGCCCATCTACTTCAGGATGTGTGCATCTGCGCCTCCTTGGGCGGTGACACGCTCCATGCTTCCCTTGGCATTCTTTTCAGGCCCTTGTGGCCCCATTTCGCGCTTTGATACTTGAACAAGTCTGTTAGCACCTGTGCAGGGGCTGGTGGCATGATATCCAACTGTTGTTACACCATCCAATGACCACCAACAACTGCACATCCAAAATGAGTAGGGCCAGCCCTTCCACAGCATCAGCACAGCACCAGTCATGCAAGAAACCAAGGTTCCAGTGCTGCGCATCATAATCGGAACAGCCAGCCCACGCTCTAACACAGTCCTGTCTACATACCGCCTCACGGTGACTGATTAGTCCCCAGGGCGGCTCGCACCAAGGCATCCAAGTCCACATGGGCGCCAGTCGCCTCCTCATAGTTTGCAAAGACACACTCACTGCCCTGGAAGACCAGTGAGCCGCCTTGCTGCAGCGACTGCTCAATTTTTGGTGGGATCCAAATCTTCCACAACTGCATGGCCTCCCCAAGGTCTGCGGCCCCATTTTTGAGGAACCGCCGAAGGATGGAAAGGGGCGTGTTGTAGTTGAAAAACGTGACTCCCACCCCCCTGTAGAAACCGACTGCGTCGTATAGGATGTTGTCAGGGTCGGCCAGCATCTGTTCTGGAGGGAAATTGGTGACCTTGCAGAACTCGAGGCCACGCTCTGGAGGGCCGATGGACACCAAGAAGAGCTTGACACCAGCGGGCTGCAGAATAGGGATGACATCTCGCCGGAGCTGCCTGGCCAGCTCCTGTGCATGCAGATACATTTTCATAGCATCTATCAGCAGACACCACAGGGGTGCAGTTGCTTTTCATTTTCGCCTTGTATGTCAGGCAGAGTTGAAACTACAAGTCATGCACGATCTTTGCTCAGCGTTGTGTGGTCAAAAGATGAATTGCAGTAATGTAGCTCATGTATCTTGAGAAGCGACGTCAACTCAAGCATCGCTTCATTGATTCGTTAATACATCAAACAGAACAATTTTGTGCATGGGCAGGGTGGGCTCCTCAACAGCGCCAGGAAGGCAAAAGCACCACTGGTTCCATTGCAGAAGTACAAGACCAGCAGCACATTTTCCTTGAAGGCTGCCGGTATCACCTTGGTCAGAAATTCACAAGGCTGGCTGACACAACAACTGACACTGTTGCAGGTGCTTATTAGAAGGGAACCCAGAAAAACGCTTGCTGATTGTCTGGACCATGTACAAGAAAGCACAGCATCGGTACTCCCAAATCTAGGATGTGCACCAGCGATGTGCTCGACCCACAGCAGTTTCGTTCTGCCATTGATCGGTGACTTTTGCATGGCTAATCAAGGCTCCCACCCAAAAGAATGTCTGCACAAGAAATGCACAAATCTGCATCAACTCTGTTCACGAAAATATGACCATTCACTGGCTTTGTGCCCACCAGGCATTGTCTGGCAGAACAAATGCAATCTGCACTATGCTCTGACCATTGTACAGATGAAAATGTGCTAGGAAACACTGTATTCCCCAGTACCCACTGGAGGTAGGCACTGACAGGTTTGGAGCAACACAACAATATGGAGATACTCATCGCACACAACAGTGCTGGGCACAGCATAATTGACGTACCTGGCAGAAAGGTCAGCCCATGCTGCGGCCAAAGACCAATACGCACCGCTCATCGCCACCCCACAGGCTGGTCACATCAACAAGCCGCTGATCTGAAGCCACATACACCTCCTTGCCTTTGAGGGCTTCGTATGGCCTGTCCGCTGTTGTCACTCCCGATCCAGCAGCCGTTATGGGTGCTTTCCAGTTTGTTCTGCCCATCTCCCAGATCCCAGGATGATTGCCAATGAACAATTTGGTAGATGTTGGTGCATTTTTGCCCTGACGGACCTGCCGAGGGATTGATAGTGCACAGGCGCGATCGGGGCCTGAGCCCCGGACTTCTGCAGCTGCTGTGCACCTCTGGCTTGTCAGCTGGGAAGCCGTGGTGGGAAGGGGCATGGTGACACCTGGAAAGCACACATGCCAGGATTGCAGTTATTTGTGCGTTTTTGAACCGGACAGCCGATGCTCCTCTGTGGCAATTACTGCAATCCCAACACTCTAATTGTCCATCAGCTGCCGTGAGGAGCAGCATCTCCCCCGCAGACAACACTGCCTTGAACCATAATGCTTAAGGAGGTACAAGCATTTGCGTTGCATCTCTGTCGCGCAAAGGATTTTCAGGGCCAAGGGGTTGCATTTTCGAGCTTCTGAACTCTGAGTCTGCGTCGTGGTTGGAGCGCTATGCTGACAAATGCAATAGTGACTATTAGTAATCACAAGCTTGGCAGCCAGACTTTGACTGGGACATCTAAACGGCACGAAAATAGCCAAACAAACACATACTCATAGCTGACCAGATGATTCGAGTTCTTTCTTTCCAAGAGCAAACCGCATGGGACCAGTGAGCGATGTGCTCAATCAATGGAATCGCGCAGCCAGTTGTCGCCCCGCTCCCACACAGATCATCTGCAGACTTCAGCCACAGCGCTTCCTCGATCGCACGCAACTCGATACCGTCAGGGATATCCCAAGACGGCTCGGACAAAGCAGCGGAGAGCACAAAAATTCGGGGGCCCGAGAGACCTCCGTGACTGGACAGAGGCGCTCCCAAGCGTGGAAAAGCGTCTTACCATCGGCGGACCTACCAGGGACAGTATCGGGGTGTCACCTTCCCGAAAAGGCCGGGCGACCCCCTTCCGCGCAACGGATGGCGGAACTCCAACCTCTGCGGCCACCGGCCGTGGTTTTGGTCCAGTCCACAATCCACGGCCAATCCTGGTCCCATATACTAATCTTGGCTTTGTGGTCGTTAGGTTCTAAGGAAGTTCGGACGCCACCGGGCAGCTTAGTTTGCCAGCTGTTGGGCGAAGCGTTGCTTCAAGAGCAAATTCGCGTGTGTTGAGTTCTCCACTTGCGACGTGTCCAGCGGGTTCAATGCCGTAGCTCATGGCAATACTACGCAGCGTCGAGTCTTAAACCACTTTTGCCCCCAACGCAGCTTCCAGAATAAGATTACTTCACGACTGCCTGATGACACCAAGGCCGGTTCCCGGGCTTGGCATGGCAGCCTACTGGGGATTATCGGTGAGCAATGCAAAGAACGCGAAAACCGGCAAATAGAAGGCAAGTAAAACGCCTTGCAATATGCTTCCTCTGTCCACAATTACACGTCACCTTTTGAATATGACAATCTGCTAGCACACCAAGATAAGAAGTAAAATGCCCAATGCAATGCCACATTCAGCAAGATCAGGTCCAGATACCCAACAAATCACCTTTACAGGTGATTTCAAATTTCAAAGGCGGTTTCTTGTAATGAAGAGAAACTCTCTTCATGACAACCCAAAGTGTATTCCTTCATAAACGGCTTCCGTGTGACTGGAGTCGGCAGTCCAGTTCACTCGCTGGCGCCATGTTTTCTATCGTACTGTGCTGCCAGCGCCTGAGTGTCCCTCTTCCTTCACGACGAACGCCACCCCATTGATTTTTGATGCCGTTGGTAGCTGTACACTCATCGTACCATGGGGGCCGCGAGCAGGTGTCCCGCCTGGGCCACCATTTTCGGGGGCGTCGGAGACACCACCGAATCGTCCGCCCGATCCGAGTGGGTTTCAAATACTGCCACTGTCTCTGTACTTACCAGCTTATTAGAAAGAATTCGAGGGCATTTGGTACACCTGTTGACAATGCTCTCGCCCAGATTTCAGGAGAAGTAGAACGTGTTTGGTGTAAATTCATCCTCCCAACAAAGGGCGACATTAGATCCTGGCAGTGCAGTGTGTACGGAAAAGCAAAGGGCAGGAACGAAGATGGCTGTGGATTGGGGTGGTGACGTGCAAAAACGTACACAAGTGCACAAAGGATGCACGAAGGATAACAGATCGTCGCTGAATACACATATTTTACCGCAATGCTGTTTTCAGCCGCACTCGTACTTTCCATCTGGCCCGACTGCTCGGAGTCGTCGAATCCTCTAAATATATTCCCCCCAGACAGACAGCCCGGCCGATCATCGAAATGCAGTTTGGCACGGCAGTACAGCCCGACCTCGCAATCGGCAGCCCATGTCGAAGGACGTCACTCGGCGGCATGGAATCGTTTTAACTGCACTAGGAAAAAAGGGCAAAATAACACGTGTTCAAACGTGTACAAAGTTTACGGGTTTGTGTTATTTTTGTGTTCTTAGCGTGTAGAACTTTGATGAAATGTGTTTTATGTGTGTTCGGAAAAGTGCTATTTGGCACTTTTTTTCCTAGCGCTGAGTGGGAAAGAGCTCATCGGAATCGTGGCGATTGCTGACACATGAGCAGGTCGACGATCGGTGGTAGGGATCAGAACTGGTATGAGACACTATCAGACATTTGACGGCTACAAATTGAGATCTCGGCACATGCATGTGCTCGATGCGTATGCGTCGTGCAACATCAACGATTTTTGACGCGGACGGAATTTGTTTGCACGGATACTTGTGAGCAATTTCGCCGCGCATTTACTCAAAGGAATACGAGCGTCAGCAGCGGTCGTATCTACGCATTTTTAGTTCAATGTGCACAGGTAAATGTAACGCGTTACATGGCGTGCGTCATGCATCAAACGGTTCTAGCGCTGCCTGGACCTTTTTGCGTAGAATAATTCAGTGTTTGTGTCGAATGGGCTCCTATTCGAAGCTGCTAGTGCCTTGTTGCAGGAAGAACGACGCTTCGTGTACCATCATCACATAGCCATCAAAATCGTTTTCGCTGCCGCAGTCCGCTGCACAGTGCGGTGGATTAACGAGACCTATTTTGATAGTTGAAACATGTTTCCGTGCAAGGAAGCACGAAAATTGGAAATTTTCAAAGCATTATCCTGCCGGCATCGTTGTAGATTTGCAGCAACGAGAGAAACCCGGATTGTTAATGCTTTCGTGGCAAATTCAATTCAGACTTGGCAGGTGGCTGCACGAATTGAAACTGGAGGTTTTAGTAACACAGCCCGGTGGCTGCACGCATAACACATTGCAAACACAACGCTAGAAGTGAATGACAAGCATTGCAGCATCAAGTGCGTAATTCCTCGTTCCCTTCGCGTACAGTCCCCCAAGCCGTGCCATACCGCAGCCCCCGGGCCAATGATCACCGTCCACGCCCCGTGTACTGGCAATCCTTCCCTCGTCGTGCCCATTCGGTAGCCGGGCGCTATCCTAGCGACGGCCTCAACATGACGGTTGCAATGGACGAGGACGGTCATAGTGAGCGGGACAGGCTGATACCCAACACCGATTCACCCTCACAGTGTTTGGCAGCCTGCAGAAACAAGCCCCGTAGCGGCCAACGCCAACTTCCACAACGGAGCGCGTCCTCCGACGAGTCCACGCCACTGCGCCACAAGCAAAAGGCGTGGGCTTCTCCTACGCAAGTAAACAAACACTCCCCGATGTTGCTCAAAGAGCAGGCTTTGAGCGGGGAATCGGACACTCGCTGCAGCTGCCGCACCGTCAACTGTTGCCGCTGCGCCTTTCTTGCAAGTCCTCCTCTTCCTCTCAACCTCACCAGCGGGACCCAAACCGGGAGCAGAGGGATTCCATCGAGGCATCCCACTGCTGCTGCTCACGCACCTGGTTGACCTTCTCCTTCACCGGCCCGCACAGCACGCACCGTTCGTTCGTGCACTTGCAGTAGTGTCTGAGCAGCAGCTTGGAGTAGTGGCAGTTCCAAAACTGGCAGCCCTCGTCCTTGCACTGGAACAGGTGCGACCACAGCTCGCGGCCCCTCAGGCAGTGCGCCCGGTAGGGGCACGTCGTCTCAGGCTGGCTGCACTTGGCCGTGTGGCGCAGGAAAAACAGCCACTTCTGGTGCTCCGTCAGTTTCTTCTTCACCACCTCCGGCGATCGTCCCATCAAGATCCGAACCGTCTCAGCACGTCATCAACGCCCTCACAACCCACGAACGATCCTCCTCCTGGATTTGAGCTGTATTTCTTTTTCTTGAAGTTTTTAATATGCTTGTTGTGCCCATTGTTTGTAAGCCTTTTGGCATTTTTGCTTTTGCATTTTTGGGAGCCTGCTTTGCAGCCCCCCAGCCTGCGGATGAACTCCGGCAGCTTGTCGCCCCACTCCTCTATCACGTTCGGCTTTTTGCGCTGGAACAGGAGCAGGATCTCCTGGCTGACATGTGCCCGCATAGACGCATCCGGGTCGGGCTCCAGGGGGGGCGTCTGTGGCGGATGCTGCGGGCCTCCAGGCGCGTCCGCCAGCGCCTGGCCAGGGGCGCTCATCGTGGGGTGCCCGTTGCGGCAGCAGGCGCTGAGCTACAAAGCCCCGGCCTGAAGGCGCGAGGGGGAAGGACGGCCAGGGGAGTTCGGGGGGGCTGTGGCAGGGGCTGGCTGGTGCTGATGTCCCGATTTACCTTCACAGCAACTTCTGGCTTCTGCAACCGGCCCCCTCGGCACCATGCCACTCCCTAAAATATGTTCAGCGGGATGGTTGACTGGTCAGGGTAAGCACGTGGGTGATGAGGGCAGTAAGGCGTGGGTGTGGTGAGAAGCGGATCGGGGGCGTAGGTATGGAACGGGTAGCCGCGTGGGAGAACGTGGGCGCGAGGGAGTTAGTGGGTAGGGACCTCAGGAACGTCGGCGGGCGGACGGGTCCAGGTAGGCCGGCCTAGAGGTATAGGTGTGGGCGCAAGGGGACATAACGTAGAGGGGAGACAGGTTAGTGAGTTCAGGGTGACTTCTCGGGGTTTCATCCCAGCGGGGGCTGCCAGTATGATGTGGGTGAAGTGTCAGTCAAGACATACGAGTGAACACGCTGTCAAGCAACCTGTACGCTCTAACAAACTGTCAGGATTTGGAACGGGCATATAAAGGGCTGGACACCTTTTGTAATGACTGACGGTTGACGGACCGCGACGGTCATAGGCCGCGAGGGCCTGTCTCACCCACGCGAACCCCTGCCGGGCATCTGCGAAGGAGCCGGC